TTTTTTTAAAAACATTTTTTTAGTTGTAGCTGGACACAATGCCTTTATTTTACTTATTTTTATGTGGTGCTGAGGATGGAACCCAGGGCCTTGCACATGCTAGACAAGTGCTCTACCTCTGAGCCACAATCCAAGCCCCACCCAAGGATTTTTTTTAAATAAGGCATTTTAACTAAAGACTATTCTAATGAAAAAGTAAAATTTATTAAAGTATAATCTTTTAGCCCATCTTTTTAATATTCTTTGAAAACAGAGGAACATGTATTGAGCACTTTTGCATAACTGAAGTCCACTGGTTGTTTAAAAAAGCTCTTGTGGCCTATAATCCCGTGGCTCAGCAGGCTGAGGCAGAAGGATTTGGAGTTCAAAGCCAGCCTCAGCAACATCGAGGTACTAAGCAACTCAGTGAGACCCTGTCTCTAGATAAAATACAAAATAGGGCTGGGGATGTGGCTGAGTGCTTGAGTGCCCTGGAGTTCAATCCCCAGTATCAAAACAAAACAAAACCACTTGTGGTGAATCATGAGCTGATGATAACTCTTTCCATGAAAAGTCATTTTTACTTGAAAGAACGACTAGCAAAAGTGATTCCAACTTGAATAGGTTGGTAGACATTTTCTCACAAACGAAGTGAGGTTTCACTTCAAGGAAAATAAGAGTTTACTGCCAGTTATAAAATATAAGATTTCAAATGAAAATCAGAATTTCTAGTGGCTCAGTGGCTGATTTCTTCCCAATCTTAAAAAGACTTTCCGATAAGATCAATGGTGATATTAATGAGTGTGATTTTTTTTCATACTGCTTAATGTAGTATGTCAAAATCTAATCTAAAAGACCAAGATCTTCCAAGTAACAATGGCAATGATTTTACAGAAGCATCTTTTAACTCTCTGGAAGATCTATTCAAAAAACAAGACAAATAAAGAAATACATACAAGTAACTAAAGACTATTAAAATTCCCCTTTTCCCAACTACCTAGCTGTTTGGGGTTGAATTTTATTCATACACTTCTACCAAAACTATAGACTGTAACAGATTAAATGTAGACATAGATACAAGAATCCAGCTATCTTCTATTAAGCCAAACATCAAAATGAACTGCAAAATGTAAAACAACCCACTCTTCTTTTTAAATCTTGTTTTATAAAATACATTTTTTATAAAAATTTTATGATGATCTACAATGGGCATATTTTTGCTTTTAAGTGAATTAATAAATTCTCTAACTCTTACTAACTTCTAATATTATAAGGTCTTTGAGGGTCCTTGATCATTCCAAATTGCCTGAGGAGTACTAAAACAAACAAAAAAATTGACAATCTCTGCCTTCAAGTGGCATTATCAGCACTTCTGAATTGTTAGTAGTATTTTAAAAGAATTCTTCCTATTGCTGCCAAGAGACCAGTCTCCCCATCAACTAAGGGCTAACCAGTGAATAACTATGTCATTAATAGGTATGACTCCAAAACTTCAGTCTAAAGTAAAACAGAGAATAACTAGGTTCTTTTTAGCAAGCATTCAACTTTATTTATTTTTCTGAAAAACTCTCTGAAGTGTAGTTTATGAAATTTTACAAAACCTAACAATACCTGCTTTGCTGCATCGCGTCTTAAAAATTTCAAAAAAAGTTGGCCTCTCTTTGGATCCAATAGGCATTTTTCTCTACAATATTTCTCCAATGCTTGGTAAATAAGTCTGCAAAACAAAAGACCAAAATACACTTAGAAGGGATGCATTCCTTCCTAAGTGACTGAAATAAAATCAGAAACGCCAGTAAGCTTGTCCAAAGTTACCTCCACCTTAGTCCAATAAAAACTTATCGTGAGGATTGGAAAATTCTATAATTGTACTCTCCAATCCATGGACCACTAGCCACATTAAGCACTTGAAAAGTGGATAGTATGGCTCAAGAACATTATCTAATTACGTTAATTAGACAAGCGTCGCTAGTGGTTGCAGTTACAAATACCATTTGATAATTCCCAATCTGTAAATCTTCGGAAAATAGCAATTACTGGGGGTTGCGTAAGGCAGATACAGTGTGCCCATGAGAAATTTCACACCGGGACATCTAGCACACTTAGCAGGCAAGTCTGGCTTGTAATGCCCAAAGGCGCGGACCGGCGTGGGGAATCAAAGTCCCAGGGAAGGTGCGGGGCTCGAATGTGCTTTGTAGGTATTGGCCTGGGAGACCGTGTCGTTTCTCTCGGGCAGGGGTGGGGACGGCAAAGACGGCGAGGGCAGAAGTCGCGGCTCCTACCCAGGACATGGGAGGCGCTCCCCCGCCACCCGCCGGACACAACCCCGTCCCCAGCCGACACCACTAACCCGCTCCAGTGATGCAGATGTTTTTTGGCTGGAGTAGACTGCAAAGAACTGCGCGCGCACCTAGACCACAAATCCGACCCCTCAGGCTCCTTCCGGTGGCGAACTATCTCTCCAGTGGAGACCCGAGGCGCGCAAAACTAGCAGCTCCGCCTCCGCCTAGTTTCAGACGCTCGCGCCAAAAGTTCACTCTAGGCACGTGACGCGATGACGCCATGACGCTCCACGTAGCGTACGCAACACCCGGAAGTCAGGCAGCGGCGGACTGTCCCGCCGCTTCTCACTGCAGCCAAAGGGGGTTCCTAATTGGGTTTCAGAACAGTCGCTTGGAGTGCGTGTTTTCTTCATCAGAATACCAGACCTCCCAGCGTGGGCCACCCGCTACTACTCACGTCCCCTCCCCCTTCTCTCATGTTTAGGTGGTCACGTTTGGATAGGGTCTGGTTGGGACCTTGGAAAGACACTTGTTTGCCCTAACAGCGGGTGTTCCGTTAGGCCTGCCCCGCAAAGTACGCCGACCTTAGAAAAAAACGAGGTTGTGGTGACTCCAGAACAGCGTGGTAGTGGAAAAGACAGACACCTGAATTGACATTGATCTCAGTAGGCGTGCTGTTCAGGATCTCTGAGCAGTGTTTCCACTTCAAAAATTGTGAACCCGTCTTAAAGCATTCCAGCAATATTAGGTTATTTATTTCTGCGGGCTGTGGTAGTATTTTTTACATTTTTAGGATACTGATCATCCTTTTTTGTGCTTGTCTTTACCCCAAAGTGTCCTAGAATACAGGAACCGGACCAGACTGAATTCATAGGGTCTGTGACATGTTCAGTACAAAGCTTAAATCGGGTTTGTTGTGTGACCTAAAAACACTGAAGGAAGATGCTCATGCTCCTGGCCGCTTTTAGAAGGTGCTTGAGCAGCCGTAGGCACCTTGGAAAAGGAAAAGAGCAAATTTTAGCCAGATGCAGTGGTTCGTGCCTGTAATTCCAACGATTTGGGAGGTTGAAGCAGGAAGATTCTAGGCCACCCTCAGCAATTTAGCAAGACTCTGTCTTGAATAAATAAGCTGGGGCTGCAGCTCAGTGGTAGAGTACCCCTGGGTTCAATCTCCAATACTGGAAAAAATAATTTGGTTGTATTTGATTATTTAGGTATCACTTTTAGTCTAATAATCCTGAGTTATAGCAGAATCCCTTGCTAATGCAGACAGGACTGGGAAATTGAAATAATTAAGTAACTTGCCTGGTAACAAGGCCCAGGTTTGAATTCAAGTCCGTTTCATCTCATACACTTAAGTACATAGCAGTGAAAACAACAACAACAACAAAAAAAACCTGCATTTATTCCACAGATGAAAACAATTTGCTTTTTTACCCTTTTCTGGGAGCAGGGAAATGGGTGTCTCACTGGGAATGGACTAATGAGAACCCTTGGTATGTCACACCACTCCCTGAAATATATTTTCTCTCATAAACATACCACTATAACTATGTTCCTTGTTCTGAAGTAATAGGGATTTGACATTCATTAGATCTACCATAATATACTTCCTTTCTTGTATACTTCTAGTGCAGCTGCTCAGATAACTTACTATTTGTATTTAATTTATTAATGCTTTATTTTTTGAAAATTTTTTCATAAAAATTGTAATATGTACAACATATTTTAGTACACATAGACATATGATTACTGCAAGTCAAGCAATTCACATTCATCTCTCAGTTACCTTTTTTGTACATGTAGAAAGAGCACTAGAAATCTACTCTTAGCAGATTTTCAGGATAAATACAGTAGTAGTAAGTATAGTTATCATGCTGTACATTGAATCTCTAGATTTATTTATCCCACAGGGTTGCAGCTTTGCGCTTTGGCCAACATTTTCCCACCTCCCGACCTCTGGTAACTGTGTATTTGACTTTTTTAGATTCCGCATATAAGTGAGATCATGCAGTAATTTTTCTTTCTACCTGTCTTATTTCATTCTTTTAACATAATGCCTCAAGATTTGTTCATGTGCTTGGAAATGGCAGGATTTTCTTTTTTTTTTAAGCTAAGTGATATTCCCTATTCTATCACAATTTCTTTATTCATTCACCTGTCAACAGACAGGTTGTTTGCATAGCTTGATTGTTGAGAAAAATTCTGCAGTGAACTTGGAGTGCAGGTATCTTTTTAAGATTCCTGACTTCATTTCCTTCAGGTATACACCAAAGTAGTGGGATTGCTGGATCAGATGATAATTTCTATTTTTAATTTTTAAAGAACTGCCATACTGTTTTACATAACGGCTGTACTAATTTACATCTCCATCAACAGTGCACAAGGGATCTATAAAATGGCCACTAGAGGAATAAATGAACGAAATTGCTAATTAAAGTATGTGTGTGAATAGTCAGAAATGAAAAACAGCTTTGAAAATGATTGAGGAATGGTGAATTGAAGAGGTTAGGGAAAAGCAATTAGGAATCAAGTGGCTATAGATCTCTGCAGGTAGGTTCATCTGCCCTCCTTTAATTTGGGTAATAGGTAGCAGCTCCTGTTAGATTCTGAAATAAATGGAGAAGCCAAGGATGAACCTGAACCAGCTTGACCAGGAAAAAGAAGGGGCCAGTAAAGGTGGAAGGCGAAAGGACACTAAACACAGGAAGATATTGAGTCTGAGCACCTGGTGAGTGGATGGAGCGCTTTGTCCGCCTTCCCTATGGCTTATACCAGGGCTATGGAAACCCACTGCCTTTGGGCCAACCGGCACTCTCGGGGCACAAACAGTTCGACTGGAGGCAAAGCATGGGTCCCCCTACTTTCCTGGCCAGGCCAGGGCTGCTGGTGCCAGCGAATGCCCCAGACTACTGCGTGGACCCTTACAAGAGGGCTCAACTTAAGGCCATTCTTGCCCAGATGAACCCCAACTTAAGCATACGGCTGTGCAAAGCCAACACCAAGGAAGTGGGTGTGCAGGTGAGCCTGCGGGTGGACAAGTCCGTGCAGTGCTCCCTGGGGCCTCGAACCCTGCGCAGCCGCTCCCCCTGGGACAGACAACCAATGACAACCTGGGGAGTACATTTGCCAGTGGTCAGCAGCAGGGGATTGAGCCTACTGCGGAAGGATGAAGAAGATGGGGAAAACAAGGCGCTTTCAGGCCCTGCAGAGAACAGCCAGCAGCCACCATCAACGCCAAGGTCAGAAGATGATGGGCAGGAGGAACTCCGAGGACCAGAGGAGTTGGGGCAGGAAGATGCAGTGTATCCTCGGGAAAGAAAGAACAGGCAGGCGCCAGGAGTTGCCGCTGCAGAGCCTCTCCGGAAGACCAACTTCCAGGTATACTTTCTCCTCCCTCTTCTTTAGTCCCTTGCCTCCCTCTCCTCTCTTACATTTCTGGGACAAAAAGAGCAAAGTCTTCTCTTGCTTCATCCTTTTATTTGGTCAGGGAGTTCTGAAAACATGTTTTACGTGGTCTGTGAGTTTTGCAAGTTTTTGTTAAAACACGGTGGCAAGCCTAACTTAAAACCAAAAATCTGTCCACTATTGCTTTTGGGAAGGAGTCAAGAGATTCAACTCTGTGCAATATGAAGTCAGGTTTCATTTTGGGAGATTGTGCTGGTGGCACGGTGGAAAATGGAATGGGAAAAGTATGAGCAACAACAGCAAGAAGAATCCTAGGGTAATCCTTAAGAGACAAGCCCTTAAATGAATGTAGTAGCATTGACATAGATATAAGTGACGTTAAGGAGGTAATTTTAAATTTTTACACAAAGCAATTAGCAAAAAAAAAAAAAAAAATTATTTTTTTTCCCTCCAAAATATAGTAAAAGACTCCCACCCCCTTATTTTCAGTTTTTGGAACCAAAATATGGCTATTTTCACTGTAAAGACTGTAAGACCAGATGGGAGAGTGCTTATGTGTGGTGCATTTCTGGAACTAATAAGGTAAGTAAAAGTAAATGGGATATGACAGGAGAATGGGGTGGGCACAGATGTCAGTTGGAAGAAGGATCTGTTTCTAGTTGCAAGATGACTTTACAATCCTGTCTCAATCATCTTGGTGTCCTGGGTGCAAAGCATGCAGTAAGCATTCAGTGACTGTTTGAATCAAACTAAATTCCACGGTCCACCTCAGTTCCTGAGCCATATCCTTGTGTTGTATGTGGTTTGGTAGTTTGGTTGGACAAAGTGTCAGGTTATTTAGAAGAACTTTTGTCTATGTTGGGACTCTAACAACTTTTTAGCTGGTGTATTTTGAACAGATTTCGCCTCTAGTTTGAGGAAATTTCCAGTTTGTCCACAAGGTGGGGCAATGAAAGAAATAACTTACAAAGGTAGAAAACTCCTAAAGAGATTTGCTTAGCTAAGACTGTGTACACGCTACCCACAATGGAGTTAATTCTCAACATTGAGATTGGGAATGACTTCACATTCTGTTCTGCATTTCTGGATTTTCATGAATATCACAGACTCTGGTCATCATGGACCCTCATTTCAGAATGAGAACAGGATGCAGCTGAGTGGCTTCTGTTTTGCTTGGCCTATGGGCTTCATTTGGCAGTCATCTACAGTGGGTCTATTGCATTAACTTATAAGAGCATCTGAGTTTGTGTTGCATGTGCAGATATGGCCTTTCTAACTAAAGGCCTGTGGAGGGAGAGGGAAAAGAGGCACACTAAGACTTGAATGAAGACTTGTGTTTTCAGACTAGCCATTTACTGGACCCAGGAGGTGAATTTTAAACTAAAAGCCCCCTCTCTCGATAGAAGGAAAACCATGGGTTTAATTCAGACATTCCAAGGCAGTAGAATACAAAGAACAACACAGTTGTCATCCTCAAGAAATGTATTCTGATAGGAGTGATTTAGACAAGAATGCAGTTTGATGATGTGAGCAGTGGCACTCACTGCATGGAAGTGGTAATCCCGCAGGAGGCAACGATTAACCTGAGGGACAGATCCTGATGCCCAAATAGGGCTTTGAGGACAAAAGGGAGGAATTCACCAAGTAGGGAGGAAATTTTGTACAGGAAAATGCACAAAACCTAGAAAATGGTACTGATGGGTAACCACAATAATTTACATTTCAAGTGGGGCAATACTGGAAAATGTAACATGTCAAGTGGCTTAAGTTGGGGTTCATTCAGAAGAAAGGCTTGGCCTACACAATGAATAAAACTATCATAACAGCTACTTTCTATTATTGAGTCTCTATTAAGTATGTTATTGGGTGGTTGTCAGAAAAGAATAAGTAGTAGTATCCCAATTTTATAGTTAAGGAAAATTAGATTCATAGATTAAGAAAGGTGATGACCAGTAGCATTAGTAGAGCTTAAAACCCCAAGGGTAGAGGTTGGATAACAGCAAGGTGAGGAAATGGCTTACTTTAATAAAAAACTAATAGCCTAGGAGATATATACCTATATCAGCTTGTACTTTAAACAAACAAACAAATTTCTTCTTAGGTTTATTTCAAACAACTCTGTTGCAAGTGCCAAAAGAGTTTTAACCCTTATCGAGTAGAAGCAATCCACTGTCAGGTAAGCACACAGAACAATTTCATTGTGTTTCTGTTTATCAACATGAAGCCTCTGTGGAAAATGTCAGGATTTAATGGAACTGCATATTAGCATAGGAATGTTAAGTTTTCATATATTTGAAATTTTATGATTAAATATTTGAGAAAAAGAAATAAAAGGAAAAAAGAAATAAAAGGCAAATCAGAATTTATGCTTTGTGGAAAAAAATGGGAAGGATTTACAATTTAAGTTGTCTTATGTGGTGTGTTTATGATGTGTGTGTTTTTCCTGAAATATCCTGTTTATAGTTAAAATAAAGTATTTTGATATGTAACTGTTAAGCTTGTACTATGTGCCAAACTTTGGGCTAAGTGTTTAGCATGTGTTTTCTCCTGTAATTTAACCTTTGTGATAGGCATTCTCATTTTTTTTTTTTTTATAAATTAGAAAGTTAAATTGAATAACAGTAAATAACTTGCCCAAGGTTAGACTGGTTACTATTAGGATTGTAGTTGGATTCCATGCTATATTTCAGTGTGTGGAAAGTCACAGAACTAGTTGAGAGCTTGACTTCCTATTAATTCCTTTTGAGTTTGGGGTGAGGGATAATATAAAACAGCCTTAAGGAAATCTGTCTTCAAGCTTTTCAGAGAAGTGTAAAATTATTTTCGTAATCGGGAAGTTTTTTTACATTTTTGTTATGGAAATTAAATCCAGGGCCTTGTGCATGCTAGGCAAGTACTCTACAGCTGAGCTATCCTTAGCCCAAGAAGTTTTTTTTTTTTTTCCTAAAATAAAATCCTCTACTTATTTATTTTTCTATAATTTGGGTAAAAGAAATGATATTTTAAAAGCTAGTTTAAAATTTTGAAGGCTTGGATTTCCAAGTCTGAGATTCTTAGTCTACTTATGTTTAATATAAATATTTATAAAATCGGGTTTAAGGCTGGGAGTGGTGGCACATGCCTGTGATCCCAGCAATTCAGGAGGCTGAGGCATGAGGATAACAAATTTGAGACTTGCCTGAGCAACTTTGCAAGACCCTGTTCCAAATAAAAAAGAGAAAGGGCTGGGGATATAGTTCAGTGGTAGAGTACTCCAGGTTCAATCCCCAGTGCTGGGGTAAAAAAAAAAGGGGGGGGGGGTTAAATACATTTTCTTACTATTTTTTCTATACTCCCTTTCCTTATTTTCACATTTTTTTCTTTTTCTTTTTTTTTTCCTTTCTGAGGATTGCACCACCCAGGGGCCCTTTACCACTCAGCTGCATCCCAGGATCTTTTTAAAATTTTTGAGACAGGGTTTCTCTATGTTACTAAGGCTGGCCTTGAATTTACAATCCTCACACCTCAGCCTCCCAAATAGCTGGGATTAAAGGCATGCACCACTGTGCCTGGTTGGAGTAATTTAAAAAAAAAATTTTTTTTCCAATTGATTATCTTGGTAGTTATTCATTCCTTAAGGTTCTTCTGGTGGTTACTGTAGAAATGGCAACACAACTGATCAGAGTCTAAATTAACTCTTCTTGCCAATGCAAAGAATTTAGCACTCTCAAATTCCATATCATTTCATCCTAATGTATATGCTGCAGTTGTGTATTTTAATTTTACCCATATCTTCAACTTTGAGATATTATTTTACAAAGTCAATATCTCCTAGCTATGTATTTATCCTTTCTGCTGTCATTTGTATTTTTTGTTTGTTTGTTTGTTTCTGGGATCACTTCTCTTTCACTTGGAGAATAGACTTTAATGTTTTCTTTAGTACAGGCATAAAGATGATAAATTCTATTTTGTCTGGATGTCTAAGAAGTTTTTGCTGGTATAGAAATTTCAGGTTGACAGTATTTGTGACTTTTAAAGGTCTGAAATTTCATTATTTCTATGAAGTTGGCTGCTCAGCTTCATTGTATTTCCCCTTGAAGTAATCCCCCCCTTTTTTAAATTTGCTTGCTTTTAAAATATTTTTATAACAGTTTTACAACAATGAGCCTATTTATTGGGGTTTTGTGTATTTATCCTGCTTCTTGTTTCTGTAAAATGTTCCTTGAATATGTGGCTTGAAGATTTTCATCACTTTTGGAAAATTATCGTCATGTTTCCAAATGTTATTTCTTCCGTTCTCCCTCTTTTCCAATTATACATGTTAGACCTTATACTATATTCATGTCTGTTTCTTAAACTCTTTTCTCTACTTTCCTTGCTTTGTTTTTGCTTGCTTCCGACAGGATATTATCTATTCTACTATTCACCATTTATAATTATCTCAACTTTTTCCAATTTGTGAAACCTATTCATTGAGTTATCATTTTCCGTTATTATATTTTTTGGTTCTAGAATTTTTGTTTATAAAAAATAACTTCTAGATCTTTGCTAGGAATGTTAGTCTTTTTTTCCTTGAACATAGTAAGTTACTTTAAAATAGGTGTCAGATAATTCCATTAACTTAGTCCCCTATGAATTTATTGTTCTCCTTTTGATTTTCAAGTATGTTCCGTCTCCTCATGTACCTGGATATTTTTGATTGAGTGCTAGTATCAGATGTGAAAGCCATGATGATAATTTGTCACCTAGAAGTATATCTTTTGGAGAGGATATATATTTGCTTATGAAAGGCAGACAGACTAAAGTTGAGCTGTTTTAAAGCTGAGCTTTAGCACCTGTGACAGCGGGTCAATTTTGGTTCTTATTCTTCTGCTGTAGCCTTAAAGGGTCCTATGCAATGTATGAGTTGCTTGGAGGGCTCTTCTACTCTGGTATATCTCTTAGCCTCATCAATTTGTTAATCCTCTTTTCAGCTTATTATCTTTCATGATACCTTTTACATGCAGTATCGTTTGTACTTGCCTTTTGTAATAGATATTATTGATATTTTATAGGTCACAAGGCTAAATTCAATTAGATTGAATAACTTGCCCAAGGTTAGACTAATAGACCTGTGATTGGATTCTATGGTGTCTTCCAGTGTTTAGAAAATCACGGAACTAGGTCAGGCCCAATGATGCATGCCTGTAATCCCAACAGCTCAGTAGGATGAGGCAGGAGGATTGCAGGTTCAAAGCCAGCCTCAGCAATTTGGTGAGGCCTTAAGCAATTTAGCAAGACTCTGAAATATAAAAAAGGGCTAAGGATGTGGCTTAGTGGTTAAGCACCCCCGGAGTCAATCCCTGGTCCAAAAAAAAAAAAAAAAAAATCATAGAATTAGATGATTAATGTAACTTTCTATTATGGTCTTTTGAGATTAGGAGAGAAAAAAATCCAAAAACAGTTTGAAGGAAACCTGCCTTTTAACATTTCCAGAAAAGTGTGACAGAATTGATTTTTTTTTTTTTAAACCATTACCATATGTCAGGTTTACCTCTATTCTGGATTTGCTTCTTTAATGCTTTGATAATTTTCCAAGCAGTTATTTTTTTAACGCAGTTTTTCTAGTTGTCCAGGAGGTTCAGTCAGAATTACCTAATCTACCATTGCCAAAAGCAGACATCTACCTTTAGGATAAACCATTTTTTATTGAACTTTTTCTCCCTTAAAAAGGAATTGTGATAATTATATGAATTAATTTATATAAAGTGCTTAGGACAGTGTGAGGCATACTATATTAGCTATTTGAGTGTTCCTCCTAAGAAAATTCTAAGTAGAGAATGTGAATATACATTATATTTGACAAATCATATTTAAGATTGGAAAATAAAAATGCATACTTTTTACAGTATAAAAAGAAATATTGGGGCTGGGATTGTGGTTCAGTGGTAGAGTGCTTGCATAGCACGTGCGAGGCCCTGGTTTTGATCCTCAGCACCACATAAAAATAAATAAATAAAATAAAGATATTGTGTCCAGTTACAACTAAAAAATAAATATTAAAAAATAAAAAGATAAATATTGACTAATTCTGTGTGGCTATGGGATATGAGCAGTCTTTAGAGCAGTGATTATCAATTTCAGTGGTTGGCAGGGATAGGAAGGTGGACCGGGGGAATATGCCAGTCCCCATAAAACATAATTATTATTTTTTTAAATCGATGATCTTTGTGGGGTTTTTAAATTTTTTTTTAGTTGTAGTTGGACACAATACCTTTATTTTATTTATTTTTTATGTGGTGTTAAGGATCGAACCCAGCATCTCGCGTATGCTAGGCAAGTACTCTACCGCTGAGCCACAACCCCAGCCCCCAGTTATTTTATTTATCACAAAACAGAATGTGTTAATGGTTGAAAGGCACTGTATTAAATCTTAGTATAAGATTGGGCATGTCTGGGAAGAAAAGAATTTGGCTTTCTCTAGAATATCCCTTCCCCTTAGTTTTAACAACCCAAAATATCTCCAAACCTGGTCAAATATCCCCTCATAGGTAAAAATCACCCCTAAATGAGAACTATCGCTCTAGCCTTTTTAATGGTCTCATTTAGGTTATCAAATCACTTAGTACCCATGTACTGCTCCTCACCCTCACCTGGCTACATATACAAAATGACACAGACACACTCTATAGAACTTTTTAACTCTTTTGTGTTATCTTGGTTGACTCAGCAATATTCTTTTGAATGCATGGCATTCAATATTCTCTTTAAAGGTATGGCATTTAAAGGGGTTTCAAGTGGTTTTGTACAGTTGGTCATGGGCTTCTCATAGAACTCGAAGATGAAGATATGGGGGATTGGGGTAGTGAAAAGGAGCATTTCAATTTGAAGATTACACTTGAAACTCTAATTTGATCATTTAGTGTCCAAACTGTTCCTTGTTTTCTAAAGACCTGTTCAAAGTCTCGTTGTTCCTGTCCTCAAAAGAAAAGACACATTGATCTAAGGAGGCCTCATCGACAGGAACTGTGTGGTCGCTGCAAAGACAAGAAATTCTCCTGTGGCAATATTTACAGCTTTAAATGCATCAAATGACAGGCACTGTGGCTTGTGAACTCTTATAACTTACTGTGCTGTTTTCCTGTTTTGCAACTTGGCTCTGACTTGGCATTGAAAAATGGACTAGAATTTGTACTTTTTTGTAGGTTATATAACAATTGTACAATGTGAATAGAATAAAATAAATGCATATGAATTAGACTATGAAGTCAATTAATTGGTGATCCCAGAGTAAAAATACCAGTATGGCATCTGTAAAAAGTAGAGACTGACATTTATGTGAAGGGAACAATGAAGAGGAAAAAAGTCATTCATTTGACAAATAAGCTTGGTGTTCTAAGCACTGGGAATACAGAGATGATCAAGGGGCAGTGTCCTTGCTTCCAGTTATACATTATTATAGTGAATGCTGAATCCGCACCTAGAATAAGCCAGACATTGTTGCAAAATATTAAATAGGAACTATTATACCTTTTTCATAGGTGTACAGAGAGGTCTTGGGGTAGAGCCAGGATTTGAACACAAGTGGAATAGGACTTGCTCCAGGCTGTTGGTTACTACATTTGTATTTTCTCCCAAATTCAGAGAGAGAAAATGGGGATGATGATAGTGTTTGTCTCTTTTTGGTTGTGTGAGAACAAAAGGAGATTCTACATGCCATGAAGGAAACACGGTACTAGATAGAGTAACCCTTTTACTGTGTCTGGGAAGAGGCGACAGGAGAGTTAGTATCAGTAGGATGAAGGGAGCTGGGAGAAGATGGTTTTGATCCAAGAGAAAAGCAAAAATAAAGGTCCTGAGAGGATGGGGCACATATTTAGCATATTTCAGGAATGGGAGCTCCCTCGGGCTAATGCGGAACATAGGGCTGAAGAAGATAGGATCCAAAGACCACGGGCAAGCATAAGAAAGCCATGGAGGGGTTTCAGTAGGGCAGTAACATCAGACTTTTTTTTTTTTGGTACTGAGTATTGAACACAGAGGCACTCAAACGCTGATCCATATCCCCACCCCTATTTTGTATTGTATTTAGAGAGAGGGTCCCACTGAGTTGCTTAGTGCCTCACTAAGTTGCTGAGGTTGGCTTTGAACTCACGACACTCCTGCCTCAGCCTCCCGAGCCGCAGGGATTACAGACATGTGCCACTGCACCCAGCTTCAGATTCTTACTTTAAAAAACTCAAGATGGGCATGGTGGAACATGCCTGTAATACCAGTGGCTCGGGAGGCTGAGGCAGGAGGATTGTGAGTTCAAAGCCAGCCTCAGCAACTTAGTGAGGCCCTAAGCAACTCAGTGAGACCCTGTCTCTAAATACAATACAAAACAGGGGTGGGGATGTGGCTCAGTGGTCAAGTGCTCCTGAGTTCAATCCCTGGACCACTCCCTCACCACCTCCAAGAAGAAGAAGAAGAAAAAAAGCTCAGTTACTGCTATGAGGGAAGACTAGGTAGGAAGGAAGAACGGAAACGGGTTAGGAAGTTAATGAATACATAAGCAGAATACTTTGGACAAGAGTGGAGACCATAGAGATGGATAAAAGTCCGTAAATTCAAGATGATCAGAAATGTATAGGAGTAGTGATGAATGACGGAAGAAATAAATGACTCTTACATGTCTGCTTTGAGATATGGGATAGATGACATTGAGAGGTATACTAGTTAGGTAGTATGTTCTGGAGCCAGATTACCTAATTTCAATTGCTGGGTGCACTATTTAGGAGATGTATGTGGGCAAGTTGCTTGCTATATCTTAATTTACCTATCTATAAAATGGGTATGATGATAATGCCTGTCTCTTGTTGGTTGTGTGACGACAAAAGGAGATGATAGTTTGTTTTGTGTTGCCAAAACAAAATATCTGAAACTGGGTACTTTTTAAAGATTTATTTGGCTCAAATGTTTGAAAGCTGAAAATCCAAGATTGAGCAGCTCCATGTTTGCCTCTGGTCAGGCATAATTTGCATCATAAGATTGTCTAATAGTGTTAACCTCATTTTGAGATTTGGGGCCATTTGAGACTTGCTGGTGCTACTGGCAGGTTTGGTGGCAGTTGCATTCTAGTACTGTAACACTTCAGCCTTCTAGTGCAGGTGTGGAAAGTAGAGATCTAGGCTTCAACCAGGCTTCAGGTCTGGCCATCTGAGCGAGACAAAGGGGTAAAGCATTTCTTGCAGATGTCAGCAAGGGAGTGATTCCAATGGTCCATAAAATTGAAAGTTCTTCAGAAGAGGAGTGAAGACAGGTGAGGTTCACAGGATATTATTCATGATGCAGAAGAATTGTTTGGGTTGGGGAATAGAATTGAGGGGAACTGGAAAAAATTCCTGAGTGGGATGCTAGGAAGTAAGATTCTGGAGCTGGTACACTCACTGCTCTGAACAGGTTTTGGGATAGCTATGAAGCTGGGTGGCTAAGGTACTTATATTCTTATAAGAATGTTAATAGACTGGGAGGAAAATGATTTTTGTATAGGTTGTCTGCGAGTATGCTTACATCCCTGAAATGATGTTAGAAGTTGAGATGGAAAAGGTTAATCATGAATAAAGAAGCAGAGTGGGCAGTGCAGAGTGGGCAGTAAGACTTTAGGTCAGCAGTTTTCAACCATGCCTGCAAATTAAAGTCACCCATGGAACACTACCGATGGCAGAATAATACTTTTGGGGTTGGACTTAAGTGTTCTTGGGTGTGGCCTGGACCTTGAAGTTTTTTTTTTTTTTTAAAGAGAGAGAGAGAGGTATATATAGAGAGAATTTTAATATTTATTTTTTAGTACTTGGCGGACACAACATCTTTGTATGTGGTGCTGAGGATCGAACCCGGGCCGCACGCATGCCAGGTGAGCGTGCTACCGCTTGAGCCACATCCCCAGCCCTGGACCTTGAAGTTTTTAATAAGCTTCTCTGACTCATAGCTGAGGATCACAGCCATTGTGGACAATGGTGATGGAGCTGAGGTGGAAGGATGGTTAGTACAGCTGGGGGGCGTGAATCTCAAAGTCTCTGGACTTTTTGAAATAGAAATAAGGAGAGAGGAGCTGGAAATTTTGGAGGAAGCAAGGAGGAATTACCTCCTCTTGGCCCTGGAACTCCTGAAAATCCATGGCAGGTGGCTTAAGCTCTTAAAATTTGAAGTTATCATACAACAAGAATTTGGTATTAAAGGCATCTGGGCAAGAAGAGTTAGTGACAGAGAAGGACTGACCTGTACATTGACTGCAGAGAGTTCTAGATGTGTACTTCCTATGATCTCGAATACAAAATAGAGACAATGACAGTTTGCGGGAGGATGACTGTAGAAGTACCCTACATGGAAAAATGACTGTAGCTGTGCTGGAGAAAAAAGAACATGTTGCTATTCTACAGTTCAGGATCTTATGAAGTTAGTGGTTATTAAAATGCCAATTTGGGGGACCCTGCTATGGATTTACCAAAATGATCTATAGAGGGCTCCACCTTAGAGAATCTGCACTTTTTTCTTTTTCTTTTTTTAATTCCTCCTGCTAGCAAAGGAGAAAAACAGGGGACTCCTGTCCTAAAGGCTGTGATTCTGCCAGTCAGCAGGAACAGGGGGCTTTTATAGAGGTGATTAGGGAGGAGAGATCGGGAAAAGAAGATCTGGGATGAGAAGATTAGGGAAAAGAAGGTCAGAGAAAATCAGGGAAAAAGGGAAAAGAAGATTAGGGAGGAGGTCAAGGAGAAGGAGGTTGGGTAAAAGAAAAAAAAAACATGTAAGTTTCAAAGCCACAGGGATATAGTCAAAGCATCAAGTGAAGCCTGTTAGGATTCCCCACTGTCAATTTCTAGCTTCCATTTCTGTGGAAAGTGGGTGACAACCTCTCCAAGCTACTCCTGCTGAAAGGGGATGAAGTTGGGGGAAGAAACCTGAAGTCCTTGTTCTCTATCAGGTGGAGATGTGGAAAGTTAAGGGCATTCAGCATTAGATCAGTCCAGAGGTCCACAGTGGCAGATGGCAGATGACTGGACAAGGCATACATAGGGCAGCGGTCATGCTAATGGCCAAAGTTGTCTCGACTTTCCTAAGTTCAGTTTCCTTTTTCTCAAAGTGGATCACGATGGAGCAACCTGTATTGTTCAGGGAGAGAAGATGGGAGTTCCCCTAAAGCAAAAGGAGCTTCCGCTGCTGCTGGGACTCCCTCAGTTCCTCCCTTTACACCCAAGAACAGCACCTCTGATTCGACCTGAGGCAGACTCACCCGTCTCCTAACTCTACTGTAGTTGGCTCTCAACAAATTGGCCAGCACCATGAATTCTCAGCATGGAAGCAGGGTTCTTTGGAGAGCCAGGTCTGCCCAAGAAAGCTAGAAGGGGGCTGCTGTTGGGTCCCATCTGGGTTGCCAAGTTTGTTGCCAAAAGCTCCGTCCTGGTCCCAGATGCCAATCCAATAAGGAGGACATGGTTTTGAGAAAAAGGAAAAAGATGGTTCATTCCTTTGTTAGCAAAGGAGAAACACAGGGGACTCCTGTCCCAAAGGCTGTGATTCTTAGAAGCTGCACTTTTGACAAGCATCCTGTGGAGACAATTTTAAGTTTGAGGACCAGCACCTGGGGAACTTTAAACAGCATTGGGTATTGAGTACAGCCTGTGCCTATTAAGTCAGTCTCTGGAGTGGGGCCTGAGTGTTCCCAAGTTCTCCATGGGGTGATCTCATATACAACTAAGGATTCAAACCCATTGCCTACACAGTCCCTTTTTTTTTTTTATAACTGGGATTGAAAACAGGGGTGCTTAACCATTTGAGCTACACCCCCAGCCCTTATTAATAATTTAGAGACAGGGATTTGTTGAGTTGTTTAGGGCCTAGCTAAGTTGCTGAGGCTGACTTTGAACTTGGGATCCTCCTGCCTCAGCATCCTGAGTCTCTGGGATTACAGGCATGTGCCACCACACCTAGTGTACACTGATTCTTCTTTTTTTTTTTTTAATTTTTTTTCCTTTTTTAATATTTATTTTTTAGTTGTACTTGGACACAATACTTTTATTTATTTTTATGTGGTGCTGAGGATCAAACCCAGAGCCTTGCACATGCTAGGCGATTGCTGCTGAGCCACAAGCCCAGCTCTGTGTATACTGATTCTTATAAGAGATATTCCTGTTCCAACTGACCAAGACAAATAAGCATCCTATTTTTCTCCCAAGGATTGTAAATATCATCTGTGTCCTTGGCCCAGGCTTCTTCCCACAATAGACTCACAAATCAACCCATTTACTTACCACCTTAAAGTTAACATGTCTTGATTTCTACATTCCAATGTGCACTTCCTCATCTCTGTAAGTGGCAAATTCATTCTTTTCAGTTATTGGGTGAATCTCTGAAGTCTTGAATTCCCTGTGTTATCAGTGAGTCCCGTCAGCTTTACCTCTGAAACGTTTCCTTAATATGTCCTCTCCTAATCAGCCCCATGGCAACTTCCCTGCCCAGGCCAGCACCCCCGTTGGCTACACTGTTGCAGTTGCCTTCTAACTTTCACTTCTGCCCTACCTCAGTCTATTCTTCACATAACAGCTCAAGTGAGCCTTCTTAAAAAGAATTAATTTTACTGTCGCCAAATATATACATGAAATTTATCATTTTAAAGTACACAATTCAGCTGCAGTAAGTATATCCATAAGGTAAGTAACTACCGTGTTACTCAGCTTTTTGTTGCCATGATCAAAATACAAGAACAATTGAGGAGTCCAGGCACAGTGGTGCATGCTTATAATCCCAGTGGCTTGGGAGGCTGAGGCAGGAGGATCACAAGTTCAAAGCCAGCCTCAGGAGAAGTGAGATGGTAAGCAAATCAATGAGATCCTATTTCTAAATAAGATACAAAATAGGGCTGGGAATGTAGCTCAGTGGTTGAGTGACTCTGAGTTCAATCCCCATACCCTCCTCAATACACACACACACACAAAAAAAAAAAAAAAAAAAAAAAAGGAGATAAGTTTATTTGGGGCTTATGGTTTCAGAGTCTTTGTTCATGGTTGCCTGACTCTATTCCTTTGGATCTGAGATAAGGCAGAACATCCCAGTGGAAGAGTGTGGTGGAGGAAAGCTGATCAGCACAGGGAGGCTATTAACTAGAGGTAGGAGGTGGGGGATGGGGGGGAGGGAGGGAGGGGCAGGAACAACCAAACCAGGAGCCAGGGACAAAATCTCCAAGGGCATTTCTCCATGACCTGTGTTCTCCAGCTATGTCCTACCTGCCTACCATTACCACCCATCAATCTCTTATTTTACCTCTGAACATTCCTGCATTGCCTAACATGAGCTTTTCAGGGAACATTTCATATCTAAACCATAATGATTACTGACTCAAACGTTTTTCATCATCCCAAACAGAAGGATTCTATTAAAACATAGGTCAAAACATGTCACTGCTGTGACCCCTGACATCCATGGATTTCCACATCACCCAAAAAGGGACTGTGTCCTTCTCATGGCCCACAGAATCCTCTCTGAACTCTCTGCTTCACTCCAGCTGCTGGCTTCTGACTTCAACCACGTGATCCTGCTCCTGCTATGATCTTTGGATTTGTGATTCCCTGTTGGGATGCTTTTTCCCCTAGTTGTTCATTTTGTGTCCTTCATTCAGATCTCTACTCAGGTATCGCCTTCTTAGAAAGGGTTTCTCTAGCAGCCTTCCTAAAATAGCACCACACCTTGGTTACTATGTGTCCCTGTTCTACAGTTTTTCATGGCACTTATCACACCTCACATAGACGGCCAAGCATATCTTCCCTCAATAAAGAGTATGAACTTCCTTGGAAGAGGGCCATATCTGTTTGGATAACTGCAGTCTCTTCTACCGGTGCTACCCCAGAGTGAGCATGCCATAAATATCTGTATCTGATATATACTCAAATATTAATTGAACCAAAGTAAATGCATTAAATACTTTAAAAACCAGCTTTATTGAGACACATTAACAAACCATGAAATTCACTGGGGGACACTAATTTTATGTTTGGGCAGTGACCTGGAAGCAGGTGTAAGTTATTGATATAAATAGCAGTACCCTCTTTCTAGAATCCACTGAAAAGGTCAATGTTTGTTAGAACTTGGAACCAGATGCCTTAAAATCTGTATGTGCACATATGTATGATGCTAACAGTTAAAAGCATCTTTATTTTACAGCTGATTCAACACATTTTCTTAACATTCTCACCTGTGGGTGGAAGTAAAACATACAGATGCCTCTAAAATTTTTGTTGCTTTTTTGAAATCACCATATTTAGAGAGTAGAGTATAATTTTAATCAAGTTATGTCTATTAGAGAAGGCTTATCTTGATTGCTTTATCATGCCAATGGGTAAAAAGTATCATCATTTGGCTCTAATGAGCAATGAGGAGGCATTTTATCACTAAAGCATCAGTTAGGTGTCTACCCTCTCCTTTGGCACCTCAACCTCTGTAGCCTTGAGGAAGGTAGTGAAAATTAGTGCTTCACTAAGTGAAGTGGGGCATGTTAGCCCAGGAGACCTGATTGGAAGATCTAAAACTACTGCTGGGCTCAACTGGGGTGGGGTTCCTTTCCTACACAATTCTTCCCACCTCCATTCAAGGGAGAGACAGTGAAGAAATAGAGGAAAAGCAGAGAAACCCAATTCACATTAACATATTTCTTTTCAAAAATAAAAAAAAGACAAACTTGATTTTTTTTCTTATGACTGCAGTCTAATATGTCAGAATTCAATGTACTGTTGACATCCTTTTGAACAGAGTAAACCATTGTGGTGGTTCTTTGCTGGATAAGAAGAGGGCATGGTGGCAAACTGTCAAGACCAGTCAGTCCTTTGTACTGTGGCTTCCAACAAAACTGACAGGTGGCTATTGTTACCCACGGAAACCTGTATTTTATGAGGTATTTTTCAGAGTGATCATGATTCAGTTGTTTGTTCTACAAATCACAACAAATTTATCTTTCAGTTGAAAAAAATAACTTATCAAAAGAATGTTTACAGCCATCCAGAAAGTTCTTAAAATATATTAATAATTTTATCAATGGTAACAACAAAAACTTGTGTCAGACTCCCTCCTGCAGGATACTTCTACAAAATTACTATTAATGATTCAGTAGTTGTATGTCAGTAAAGCAAGTTGTTAGTTTGTGAGGAGAAAGACAGTATTCATCAGATTGCTCTCTGTCTATCCCTGTTTTTCTAGTGGGGTGTCAGTGATAGTACAAAAAGTCTAGTATTTACTACTCATTATAAAATCTGTTCTATAATTTTAAGGATGTCAGCCTTAAAGGACAGGTTATGGACAATTAGATGCCTTTGTTCTTTTCTGATTTTTCTCTTTGATTGATTACAGAGAGAACTGGTTGGAAGACTTTTAGTGCCCATTTCCAGAGACATTCTATTTACCTCTGGCTTCAAGGGCCTTTGCTACACAATCCCAATGGATGCCATTTACATACTAAATGTAAATGGTGTCCCTTGGAGTTGTCACTGTAGCAGCCCACCTGCAAAACTATTAATGTATATCAAAGGCAAATATTTTCATTAACCAGAAATAAAATCCAAGGTCAACATGTATTTTTGTCTTTTCTTTTTAGTCTAAAGAAATGTCTGAACAGAATATCAATCAAGATTACATCACAAAATCTTTAAATGTATTTACAGAGTGAATAAGTTACATAGATAAACTTTGAATATGTTTTGATGTGCAACAGAGTCACATGCACACATCTAACACTTGACAGCATTAAGTTTAAGGAGAAAACTTAAGAATGGCCCATTACATGTATATTATAAATAAAATATGACATTCTTAAGAAACAAAATGACAACTCATAGTTTACTTTTATGATTCCACTTCCAGCTATCCAAATGGATATTAAAATATGCATGCGTGACAAGTGAAAGACTTGGAATTCATAATGTGATAATTTTTCTCTACAAAATGACAAAGTTAATTAAAATTAACACTCATCCTTCTGTAGTATAAATATGCTCATAAAAGCGACCTTCTAGTAAAAAGCAGCCAAGATCCTTAAAAAGAGTATCTGGATCATTTCTGGTGCAAAAAGATCCAGGGCCTTCAGAAACAGTAGCCTAGCAACAACAACAACAAAAAGGTACTTCATAGCAGCTTCTTTTAGATACAGTAATTGTATTCAAATAACAGTGTACATTAAATTGTAGTCCATTTACAATTCCCTTTTCAGATACACAGGCTGTCGGCTTTTGACCATCTTACAATTTTTCAGTGGCCAGCTTCATTCTGCCTGTCCCTTTCTCAGCCCACCAAAAAAAAAAAAAAAGGGGGGGGGGTGAAGAGGGGGTCAAAGGAAAAAGAAAGGAAACGAATGTACAAGTTTCAGAATATAAATCTCTTTAAATGAGGAAAACATTGCACTTTTGCCAATCTAAAACTGCTTCTAGAAAGGTATTGTTCAGTGTCGTCGGCTTTGGTATGCAATGGAAGTCACTTCTTCAGTAGTGAGTTGCGTTTGCTCAGTAAAAGGAAAACACATTTGTGCCACACAGCATGACAGGTGGAGTCTGTCTCAAGATGTCCTATGCTCCCTTGGTTCTTATGGTATTGCTACATATTGGCAGTTCTGCCATCCTCTTTAGAAAAAGTCCTACATGTAACAAGAGGGAGAACAGTCTGTCCAAGCCTTGTGAAGGCTGAGAAGACACTGAATGACGTCGCCCCAGCATGGCAGCACCGCCAGCTTGGAAACCATGGGGGACGGGAGGCTCCTGTCAGAGACTAGTGCCAGAAACACTGGAGTCTGGGAGAAAAGTAGTGAGGACTCGGTAGCTCTGGGCCCTGCGAATCATGTCCCGGATCTCCATGTTCAGCTCCATCAGTTTGGTGCAAATTTCGGTCAGGCTCTGGTTTGATCCCACCAGTGCATATGTACCCGTCTGTCCCAGAGTCTGGTGACGGAAATAGATATTCAGTAGTGTCTGGACCTCATCATCAGAACTGCTTCCAAAGATGTCGTTGGGCCACAGACTTCTGCAGTCAAGAAAGAACAGCACAGATTAGAGACATTATTGGTTACAAAGCTGGGAAGTTATGAGTCTTCATTAGTATAAGAATGTTACTTAGAAGCTTTGTTGAGATGTTCTCATACCATACAAGTCACCCGGCTACACTGTTTACAACTCCATCAATTGTGCAAATATCACTATAATGAGTTTTAGGATAATGTTTTTGATATTTAAAAAATATCAAAAGTTTAAAAATACCAGAGTGGAGTCTGATACTCTTATAACCTTTCTCTCATTTGTTATGGCATTCTCATTCCAATGAATGTGAAGACAATTTAAAAATGTTAGGATGTAAAAACTCAAAAGTACATTCAGACTAAAATTATAGTTCTATATTACATAAGAATATACTTTGAAATGTATTTTAGGAACTACAAATGACCAGAATCAACATCAGTATTTTCAGTGTGTAAGGTCTGAAAACCAGCATTGCAAGTAAGAAATAAGACAGATAAAATACATAGAAATTCTTTCTATGTTGTTTGTCCCCCCCCCCCAACCATAACAAAGTCCCCATTAGGTGTTCATTTCCTTCAACCATCTCTAAAAGAAACGGTAGAATGACCTGCATTCCCTGATTTGCCGTAGAGCTTTGCCAAGTTCGTTGTTCTTGAGGCACTCCAGCATGGACTGGATGGCTGCTTCAGTGGACGTGAAGGTTGGCTCAGACCAGGCTCCCTCTGTGTAAAGAGGGTCCGCAGCAATGGCTGCGGTGGCCTCCTTCAGATTTCTTTTCAGGTCACTCAGTTCCCTGGACATATTTAGTAGCTGTTAAAAACAAAAACAAACAAGCATGTATTTGGGTGTAGGCTGGGTTTTTCATTCCAAATGAAAGAAAATTGTGTGTCTGGTTTAGCACAAGCTTGATATTTTGGCAAAGTAAAAGTGACAGATGACACTGTACTACATGGTACACGTAAAGGATTGGGGCGGTTATAACCATTATAACTTTACATAACAACTGAGATTATTGCCTTAAGAGAGACTTCATTTCAAATGTTTTGTATTTAACTAGAAGGGGCATAAATGAGGAAGTAGAATCCACAACAGAACAAGAATAGGGAAGATCTGGGTTCAAATGCCAACTCTGAAGGATAGTAGTCCTCCTTTATCTGCGGGGAATATACTGAAAAACACCCCAAAGATGACTTAACCCTACATATTATATTTTCTTACAAATACATATCTATGATAAAGTTTGATTTGTCAATTACCTATAGTAAGAAATTAAAAATAATAAAACGGAACAATGATAACAACATATCAAAAGTTAGTTAAAACATAGGAATTATTTATTTCTGAAATTTCCTTCTAATATTTTCAGGTCACAGTTGACCACGGGCAACAAACTGTGGAAAGTAAAACAAAGGGAAGGGAATGACTGTATAATGCTGGGGTTTGATATGATTTGTCCCCCTGAACTAATGCAGGAGTTTAGTCCCCAAAGTCTTATGTTAATAGTTTAAGAGGGTAGAAGAATCTGACTATGATGTCTAGAGGTGGGGCTTTAAGGGAAGGGATTAGATTAAGTGGTTAGGGTGGGGCCTTCCTAATTGAGAAGATTGAGATGAGATGGAGAGATGCAGACACAAGCATATACTTGGGCTCTCATTAAGATCTGATGAGGGGCTGGGGATATGGCTCAGGTGGTAGCGCACTTGCCTGGCATTCGTGAGGCACTGGTTCGATCCTCAGTACCACATAAAAAAAAAAAAAAAAAAAAGGAAAATGATGTGACCAAAATCTAAAAAATAAATACTAAAAAAAAAAAAAAAATCTGATGAGGCCAGTCCTGTGCCATGCTGTTGGGCTTCCAGCCTCCAACTATGAGCTACATAGACCTTTTCTCTTTATAAAGAAAATTGATACTGGGAGTAGGACATTATTACTATACCTGTAGATGTAGAGGAGCCTTTGGAATTGGTTAACAGGAAGAGGTTGGAAGAGTTTGGAGGAGCAGGTCAGAGCAAGCCTGGAATGCTGTGAGGGCTCAGAAGACCCGAATTCAAATTCAGATGTGGAGAATAATAAAGTCCATGCTGATGAAGGTTCAGATGGAAATGAGGATTCTCTTGGGAACTGGAGTAAAGACCACTGCTGATAAATGGTGGCAAACAATTTGGTTTCCTCATGTCCTAGTCCTGAGACTTTGTGGAAGGCTGAACTTAAAAGTGATGGACTAAGTTATCTGGCAGAGGAGATTTCAAAGCAGCAAAGCCTTGAAAATGCTGTATGGCTGTTTTTGGCTTATAGTCAAGTGAGAGAGCAAAGGTATGCTTTGAAGAAAGAACTTACAATTAAAAGAAGAGCAGACAGGAAAGGTTTTGGAAAATTTTTGGCCTGGCCAGGAAGGGAGCAGAAAAGAATGTAAGAGTGTCACCAAGAGCAGCTGTTTGCCAAGGAGATTAGATCAGATAAAAGAAGCCAAGTGTTTTGCCTCAGGACCTTAGGAAAGATGCCTTGAGGGCATCTCAGAAATCCTTCAGGGCAGAATTGTTTCAGCAAAGAGCTTCAAGGCTGGCTGGGAAGTTGGGCTTGCTGGCAAAGCACTCTGGGGCTGCAGCCATGGTTCAAAGGGATGCAGATGCAGCCCAGGCAGGTAGCAGACCTTGGCATCATTTGTATGATGCTATTTTTACAGGTGGGCAGAATTTCAGGAGTGAATAAGGACTAGGAGTAGAATGCTATGGTTTGAATATGGTTTGTTCCCCAAACTCATACAGGAGTTTAATCCCCAAAGCCTATGTTATCAGTATTAATAAGGTTAGAAATTTAATCTGACTAGGGTACTAGAGATAGAGCCTTTGGGAAGAGATTAGATTATGTTATTAGGATAGTCTCCAAGATTGATTCCTTCTGGAGAGGAAGAGAGACACATGCATATAGAGATATATATCTGATGTTGCCAGAACCTGTGCCATGCTGTGTGGACTTCTAGCATCCAAAATTGTTCTAAATAACCCTTTTCTCTTTGTCAAATAGCCTGCTTCAGGCGTTTTGTTATAACAAAAGCTATCTAATACATATAGTATGGGGAGACAATCAAGTAAATAGACTGTTATGTGCCTCAGTTTCTTTATCTGTGACACTGAAGACATTACCCATACCTCACAGGGTCATTTTATAGATTAAATGAAATAACATATAAAATACTTAGTGTAGTTTGGCAGATATGACTTCAATAAGTGTAATTGTGAACGTGGACCTTGTTCTGATGCCTAGGAAAAGACTGAAGACATAATTCTGACTGAAGACATAATTTTGAGGAGGAGGAGGAATAATCTTAAAAGTAATTTTTTTTTTTAGAGAGAGAATTTTTTAATATTTATTTTTTAGTTTTTGATGGACACAACATCTTTATTTTATTTTTTATGTTGTGCTGAGGATCGAACCCAGCGCCCTGCTCATGCCAGGCAAGCGCACTACCACTTGAGCCATATCCCCAGCCCTTAAAAAGTAATCTTGGTATTAATGTTACAGAGGTAAAGGATATTTTCCTCTCAAAATTACTGAAACTAAGATGGGTACAGTGGTATGCACCTGTCTTCCCAGTTACTTAGGAGGCAGAGGCAGGAGGATTATTTGAGGCCAGCCTGGACAAAATAGCAAGATGCCATCTCAAAACACGTAAAATAAAACACAAAGTGGAACCAAAATAGCCAGTGTTACCCTCAAAATATATTGTGGAAGACAGACTGTTTTACAATTTGACCTCAAGCTGTGAGGGTTTTTTCCTTTGTAATGCAAGTTGATGATAATGTTTCCTTTGGAAAGTTATCCAACAGCTTCAACTTTCCTTTTAATTCCCAGTTGCTCATTGTACAAGTATAAGACAAAGACCTGATGGACTGTTCACACAGATGACTATTAAACACAAATGCCTACAATCAACAAGTACATGAAAAAATGCTCACCATCTCTAGCAGTCAGAAAAATGCAAATCAAAACCACCCTAAGATACCATCTCACTCCAGTAAGATTGGCAGCCATTATGAAGTCAAACAACAACAAGTGCTAGCGAGGATGTGGGGAAAAGGGTACTCTTGTACATTGCTGGTGGGACTGCAAATTGGTGCAGCCAATTTGGAAGGCAGTATGGAGATTCCTGGGAAAGCTGGGAATGGAACCACCATTTGACCCAGCTATTGCCCTTCTCGGACTATTCCCTGAAGACCTTAAAAGAGCGTACTACAGGGATACTGCCACATCGATGTTCATAGCAGCACAATTCACAATAGCTAGACTGTGGAACCAACCCAGATGCCCTTCGATAGATGAATGAATTAAAAAAATGTGGCATTTATATACAATGGAGTATTACGCAGCACTAAAAAATGACAAAATCATGGAATTTGCAGGGAAATGGATGGCATTAGAGCAGATTATGCTAAGTGAAGCTAGCCAATCCCTAAAAAACAAATGCCAAATGTCTTCTTTGATATAATGAGAGCAACTAAGAACAGAGCAGGGAGGAAGAGCAGGAGGAAAAGATTAACATTAAACAGAGACATGAGGTGGGAGGGAAAGGTAGAGAAAAGGGAAATTGCATGAAAATGGAAGGAGACTCTCATTGTTATACAAAATTACATATAAGAGGTTGTGAGGGGAATGGGAAAAAAAAAAACAAGGAGAGAAATGAATTACAGTAGATGGGGTAGAGAGAGAAGATGGGAGGGGAGGGGAGGGGGGATAGTAGAGGATAGGAAAGGTAGTAGAATACAACAATTACTAATATGGCATTATGTAAAAATGTGGATGTGTAACCGATGTGATTCTGCATTCTGTATTTGGGGTAAAAATGGGAGTTCATAACCCACTTGAATCTAATGTATGAAATATGATATGTCAAGAGCTTTGTAATGTTTTGAACAACCAATAAAAAAAAAAAACAAAAACACAAATGCCTAGAAATAGGTATAAAATTTCCAGAGTCAATGTTTTAAAATAAGATACTAGAATATCTTGATTTTTATTATAATTTTAAGTATGAAAGTTCTTTTCTCTTCCTAATTTATTTATTTATTTTTGGTGGTGCTGGGGATTGAACCCAGGGCCTTGTGCATGCAAGGCAAGCACTCTACCAACTGAGCCATATCCCCAACCCACTCCCTAATTTTAAACAATGTAAGTTTTAAGTTGATATATTGTATTTAAAATTTACCTATATTTAAAATAGCTGAGCAGAAATTCATTTAAAATGCATTAGATTTAAAATAATTACAAATACATATCTATATATACAGATGGTATGTAAAACATCATTTGCTACTCTAAAGTGAAACTCCAATTGCTATTGTTATGTTTGTTTTTGGAGATCAAAAACTCAGGGTCTTGTGCATGCTAGGCAAGCGCTCTATTACTGAGATATATATACACCCTAGCCCACCCCTCAGTGGCTTTTTAAAAAATAACTTTCATTATGTATATATAAGGATTACATAATATGAGACACACATAGATAGTAAAATGATTACTATAGTAAAGCAGATTAAAATACCTATCATCTCTGTTACTTTTATTTTTTTTCATACTAGATATTTTATTTGGGATACCAGAGTAAGTGTTCTCCCACATAAATACATTTTTTCCATTTTTTTTTTACTGGCTCTTCTTTTTTTAAATTCACTTTAGTTATATACAACACAAGGATACACCCTGACATTATCACAAGAGCATGTGTGACAAAAACTCTTAGTTAATAAAAATCCCTTGAATACTTCAATTTTAAGTTCAGGGTTCATGTTGTACATTAGGACTCTAGACCTGTT